AGATAGATAAATAGTAAATGAGAATTGAGGGAGAGAGAGAATAAATTTAAAAAAAGGAAACTAAATGATACTCAAATGTTAATGCTATTATCACCGATGATGATCTCACTCCCACTTCGAGCACCTTCATCTTCCTTGTGGATTTGGTAATGGGTTGATGAAAAAGGGGAATTGATTGGTAGTAAATGAGGAGAGAGTAAACCAAAGGGTGCTCAAGATTAAGTCAAAGGGTGCTCAAATGTTCATGCCATTAACTGACTGGTAGGCAAAGTTGAGATTATATAATTGTTGAAGGGTAAATAAGACAATAAAAAGTTTTTTGGTTTAGCAACCTTTTAGAAGTATAGAATAGATCAGTGGACGGTTACATTACGTATTATTGCGGATGTGCTATAATGGTTACAGTCAATTTGTTTTTTAAAATCTCCCTGTTTCATTTCTTTTTGCCACATGGCCAAAAGGTACCTTCCTTGATATATTCTTGTGTTTGAATTTTTAATTTTATTCGGTATAATTTTTTGCGGTTATAACTCATGGTGCTTTGTTGGCAATAATATTCAGTTATTTACAACTATTTAAAAATCAATTATGTACCGGACTGTTAAAACCCAACAATAACAAATGTTCATTATGCCATAAGTCAAAGTATGTGATTCAGTGTGTAAAGTAATAAAATAAAACATTAATCATTCACCACACGAGTTTAATCACACACTTTACAAGTGCCAATTGACATAGAAAAAAATGACCAACTCTGATAACTCAAAGATTATATATATTCTATGGGTCATGTCTAAAGACACGGAGTAATAAAAGAAATTGTCAATAATAACAAATTTTGTATTCACACGTAAAATTAAATCACAAATATAGATGAAAGAAAAATGAATTTAAATATTGATTATAATTGAGGTGAATAGCAGTAGTGATGGTGGGCAGCAGGTGTGGTAGGGTGGTGACGCTGATAGTGGCAGTAGTAGTGGTGGTGGGGGCAATGGTAGTGGGGTGGTGGTGGTGGTGGCGATGGTGGTAATGGTTTTAGCCGTGGAGTTGGTGGTGGGATAGTAGCGATGGTGGTAAGGCGGTGGCAACGGTGGTGGTGGTGGTGGTGGTGGTGGGGTGGTAAGGGTAGTGGTGGCAGGTGGCGGTGACGGTGGTTGTCGTAGTGGTTATTATGGTGGAGAGGTGGTGATGGTGGTGGGGGTGGGGGTAATTGTAGTGGTGGAGCGGCGGGGGTGGTGGGGCGGTTCCAAACACTATTTTTTTTAAAGTACTTATGAATACTTATAAATTCTATAAGCACTTTTAAAAAGTTATAACAAACATATTCTTAGAGACATATTTTTTTTATTAAATTTGGAGTGTTCATATGAGCTGTCGGATTAATATTAAAGTAAAACTAAAAGAGATCGCAACCACAAAAGACAAAAGTTATTTTATTTATTTTTTGAAATTTGAATTGTATTATTTTTTATTATATAAATGTGGTGGGGATGGGTGATAGTTGGTGATGGCGGTGGTGGATAATGACGAGTGGTGCTGGTAGGTATGGTGGGAGTGGGTGATAGTGGTTGGTGATGATAGTGGACGACAACGGGGTGGTGGTGGTAGGTGTGGTGGGAATGGGTGATAGTGGACGGCGGTGATGGTGGGTTACGATGGGGGTGGTGGTAATGGATGGTGATGAGTGCTGACGGTATGAGTGGTATGATGGTAGTAGTGATAATAAATATAAAAATAATATGTCGATGGTGGTAGTGGACGATGGTGGTAACAGTCGGTTGTGGGTGGCAATGGTAGTTATGACAAAGGTGATGGTGGGGTGGCGAAGGTGGTAGTAGGGGTGGGGGTGGCGATGGTGGGGTGGCAGCAACGACGATGGTGGTAGTAAGGGTGGTGGTGGGGCAACAATGGTGGGACAGTGATAATGGTGGTATGGTGGTGGCAGCAGTGGTGATTGAACTCTGATAAGTCCGTATTTTCCTTTAATGATATATCTATATAATAAAACACATAGAAAATTAAATTCTATCCCATATACATTTTCCTTCAAAAACCATTATATTACTCATTTTTATCACATATTCAATCATTTAATAATTGATTAATTTATAATTTAACATAATTTTTATTTAAGATATTATTCATATATGATAGTATACATATGTTGAGAAAATTTTATCGAATTACGTATGTTACATAATAAAACGCGTAGGAAGTTGAATTTTATTCCTTGTTTATTTTTCTTCCCAAAACCATCACATCACTCATTTCTATCACATGTTCAATAATTTAATATTTGATTAATTTATAATTTAACGTAATTTTTATTTCATATATTATTAATATATGATAATATACATATGTTGAGAAAATTTTAACGAATTACGTATTTTGAAAAAAAAAATTCAATATTTTAAAGAAAATAATGAGTAAAAATAAATTTTAAATTATGTAATTAAAGAAATGAAGAAAATTAAAATTATTATTTATTATAGTGAGATCAATTTTTTTTGGCTTGAATTTTATGTTCTATCGTGCCTCAAGACACGGGTTATGACACTACAACAAAAAATTTTTTTTGCGACGATTTTTTTCGTCGCCAAATAAAAAAAAAATCGTCGCCAATTATTTTTTGCGACGTTTTCTTTTCGTCGCAGAAAGTATTTTGCAACGCAAATTTATTTTCATCGCAAAAAAAAAAATTTTGCGACGAAAAAAAAAACGTCGCTAAAAGTAAAAAAAACGTAGTTAAAATCTATTCCACCAGCGTAAGAAAATAAAAAATAATACTTTAATTAATTTTTCGCGACGTAAAAAAATTGTCGCGAATGATATTTTACATAAATAAAAAAATTAAAAATAATAATTTAATTATTTGTTGCGATGTAAAAAAATCGTCGCAAATAATTTTTTACATAAATTAAAAATGTAAAAAATAATAATTTGATTAATTTTTTGCGACGTAAAAAAATCGTCGCTAATAATTTTTACGTAAAAAATAATTGAATAACAATGTTCCGCGACGATTTTAATTTCGTCGCAAAAATGTTCTTTTTTTTAAAAAAAATAATTCATAAAAATAATATTTCAATAAAATTTTTCACCTGTACACCATTAATACTGTGTTTAATAAAAAACTAATACAATTAATACATTTCGCACTTTTTTTAAAAAAATAAAATTTTATTTCAAAAAAAATGAATTACAAGAATCAAAGAACATGAAGTTCTAAAAATAAAAAAAATGGATTTAATCCTTCAAGAGGATTTAAACCTAATGTCTCTTAAACTTGAACACCTTCAGCAGTCCAGCTCCATGCCTTGAAATATCATCTCAAAGCTCAACAAATCAGTACCATGAGTAGTTTAAATCAACAGTGACATTGCTTGGAGCCTCTTTATTTATGACAGATTAATGTAGAGAACTCCAGTTTATCATGGCTAATTCAAGAGCTTTTTAATCTGGTCCTTGTTGTGAACTATACCTCTGAAGTTCAATAATTGCATTGATCAGAAGATCCCTATCAATAGGGCAAGAGAGAAATGTTAAGAAGGATTTGAGCATAAATAACTCGTATATCAATGCTCAAGGTAAGAGCATAAATAACTAATATACTTCAACTCCTTTTATCTTATAGGCAAGCGAGAAATCTTATAACTCGTATATCAATGCTCAAGGAATTGAGTATAAATACTAATATTCTTCAACTCCTTTTATCTATCAGAACAAACATGCAGAAAATATCTCCAAAACCACGTTGCAGTAAGTGAGGCTCCTATAGTAAAAGGAAAATTAACTCTATTACCTCACCATGAAGCTTATGTCTGAACTAAATGACTATAGAGTAAAATGAATGCTCTTTAATTCCCTATGTCAATCAATATTGCAAAGAGAATGTGCTTCACTCACCAAAACAATAACGTAAAAGTTCCAATTCATTTGCTAGGCTGATTCGGGCACCATAAATGAACATTGCAGTGACTGTCCAACAAAGACAGCAAGCAGGACCAGCTGAAAGCACCAAAAACCATGAGATAAAGCTGAAATCCAGCTAAAGTCCAGCAGGGAAGCAGCAGCTAAGAGCCAGCAGCTGAGGAGAGTCGTTGAAAATCCATCAGCATCAGCCTAGCTAAGTAAGCCAGAAAAGTGACAAAGAAGAAAAGGGAGAGCCAGAAGAGAGCAGCTGAATTCTAGCTGTGAATCCAGCTGAAATGAACTGGTAAACCAGCAAAGGATCAGCTCCATACCAGACAAAATCCAAAAAATAGCAGAACGGCAGGCATCAGCAGCAACAGGCAGACTGTTCACGTGAATAGTCACGTAAACAGTGCACAACACAGCACAAAGGAGAAAAATAAGCCCTACAGCATAACACAACACCATTTCAGTCAAAACAAAACAATGCAACACCAAGCCAGCACCTCCAATAGCAGGAAAACCAAATGAAGAAGAGGAAGGCCAACAAGGGTTGGCTTTAACCCTTCAACATGAAAAAACCTTTGAAGTCAGAACCAAGTGGGAACTTTCACCAACCAGCTAGAAATATCCTACCCCAGAACCAGCAGCCCAGAAGCACATCACACACTGCATCCAAACTGATACTGAACCAAGGAAGCCGTTTAAAACTGCCCAGAACACCAAGCAGCACATACACCTCCACAACATCGATAACACCTCCCAATCCCTTGACAGTGCACACAAGCAAAATAGGGGATGACCAGAAAGGAGGAATAGGCAAGGCAATCACAGCATGACCCCCAAACCACAGCAAAGCGCCTGCACCATAGCACGCAGCCACATAGCAGCAGACTGACAGCACAGAAGCACCCAGCTAGGAAAAGCACCAACAACCAACCTCAAGCCAATGAGCACAACCAAAAGGACGGAGAAGCACAACAAGTGACACCAGAGGCACACCTCACCAAACATAACAGAAAAGCCCTGACATTACACAAAACTCCTCTTCCCAACTAAACTCAGACAATAAAATAGCTCACTGCCCAGCACCCCAAGCAGCACCTGCACATCCACATTAATCACAATATCATCCAACCCCATGTCTGTTATCACATACACTCATCTTCTTCAATCTTATAGAAGGCATCATGCCTTGGTCCTGCTGAAGAAGTACTCTTCCAGTAGTGGGCAGCTTCCCATTTTCAGAAAAATCAGAGTTTCTACCATAAAGGACTACATAAGAAGCTAGAAATTCTGCAATGCTATTGGCATCCTGATACACATGCTTGATCTGGAAATGCAACTTTCCACAAAGTAATATCCATGATTTTCGGTTAAATAGAAGAATATTACTATAAAAAATAGTGTGCACCCAAAGATAAGAATAAGAAGAACGTACTGAATATTTCTCTTAAATATATTTCATTCACATTCCTGGTGAGCTCATCAACACGAAGAACAGAGACTCAGGAATAGGCGAAGTTTTCTTGAAATCAGATGCAAATGTGAACATAAGTAAAAGCACTAATAAGTAATAACAAAAAATAAAAATTAAAAATAAAGTGAATATCATATAATCTTCTCATATTGTAACTTAAGCAGCCAAATGATCAGCAAAAAATGCTACGCAGTTTAACAGACTAACAAACTGAGTGAGAAGCAGAGGAGGACTTACATTAACTTGCCATGGATAACGAGAATGCTTACAGAGTTGAAATTTTTCCATATCAAAGTCTCTAACTCCACAATCATTATTGGAGGCTATAAAATGAACTGTCTGACCCATTAAGAATGCAATAAGTAATGTCTATGGATATTTCATCACGGTCTAGTCCACCTGCAGAATGCAGATTGAACATTTTTGATAAGATGCAATCCTTAGATAATTACTTTGCATACTCTGCAGCAATAACCCACCAACACAAAATTTTCTAACATAAGCAAGGTAATATAACTGGAAAATGTGAGTTCAGGTAACAATGACATACACCAAGGCAAGAAGATGGAGAATACTAGTTGGGGAAATTTTGAGTTGTACAAAAGTTTCATGCTCTAGCTCTTTCCTAAGAATATCAGCTGCTACAGGATCAAGTTGAACACCATGCAAGTCACCAGATACACTATGGGAACGAATCATGCTTGAGGAAGCTATAGGCATCTGCTCTCCATTAGCATTTACATGGTCTAGTAGATTCTGAAACAGGGTTTCACAGTCAGGAGCCTGCCCATTTAACTTTGAACAACAATTCAGTAAAAGGTTGATTTTTTTTTTAGAGAAGTAGAAAGTGAACCAATAATCTTCATTTCTCAGGATTTACAGTTGCTAAGTATTTTGTAGAAGTTTTCTTATGCAGCATTTCCTACATCAACATGAAACTCAAATAAGAAAATGCAGTGAATGAGAAACACTACCACAAAGTAAAACTGTTAGTCAACTGCCTTGCCACGCATGCAAGTCAATATGTGATAGCCTTGATAACTTTCAAAAATGGTAGAACAAGATTGTTGTCACAAGTTCAATTCATCTGGTACAAAAAAGGAAAGAAATACATTAATAAATTATCAGTCAAATTTTTAAAAAACATACAGGTTTTCTAAATCTTAAGTGCTGAAATTTCTAGTTGTTCCCCGTTCGCTTTCACGGCAAACGGAGTTGAAACAAGCCGATTGGCCCCCTTAGCTCCAAGTTTTAGTTTTTATACTTCTTAAAAAGATACTAAGACTCAGGTTGCATGTAATCTAAATGCATTCTACTGCCTATGGTATGCAAGTTGCATGTTTTGTGGGGAAACTAATAGAGCAGGCTTGAAAAACTACTTAATAGAGTCGAATCTTCACTTAATGAGTCATTGTTTTTCTTGGAAATAACCTTGAATGCCCTTACAATTATGTGTAGTTATTTTTTTTAACCTTTTGCTGATTCTCTTTAATACTTAGATTAACCAGCTATTCTCCTGATGTAATGTTTTGGGGTACTTGAATGGTTTGGAGTCTTCACATAAAGGAATGTGTTTTAGTAGGCCATAAAGGTTATAAAGATAAGGATTTGGATCTCCTCAATATCAGTTATCAAACTTTCCATAGTTTAGCCCCCAATGCAAAGGCAATTCAATTAAACCCAATGCAATTCAATAAAACCCAATTCAATATCATACCAACAGGAACAAAACAATTTAACCCAATGCCCATAGTTGTCCAAAAATTTAGAAACATCCAGAAGACTAACAGTAGAATCAACTAATTCCTTTCCACATACTTAGTTCAAGCTAAGCAACCAATCATAAATCCAACAATTATAATGAAAACTATGACCCCAGCACTGAAAATAGATGCAACCCAATTCAAGCAAGATGTCCTGTGTGTCCCACTCATAGCTATAGTGTTATCAATCGCTAAAACCACAACCACAATTGGGTCCAATAAATTAAACCCTTCAGCCAAGGAGTTCACTCGAATTCTAAGGAAATCCGCATCAGATTCCTAACCCAGCAGCACCAACAACGGCCTCTAGTAAAATATTACCCGTAGCTATAAAAGCAAGAAAATCACTCAACTCGATTCAAAGAAATGAGAAAGACCCACCTGCCACAGGTATTTCCACAGCAAATTCAGTGTAACAGAACACTGATAGCAACGCAGAGAGGCCTGAAGTGGCATAAGAAAGAACTATAGTTGGGCCAGCATCGTTGTGGAGAGGTTTTGGAAGGAGGGTGCTGGGAAAAAGTCTTGTTTGCTGAATCGCCAGTAGGATTTTGGTGGTGGTGGTTGTGGTGGTTCCATGGCGGAGGATTTGGAGTGAGAGGCGAAATGGGTATTGAGTGGAGTGATCAAATCTTGAGAGATTTGAGAATCAGTGTTAGAATCAACCATTATTACCAAAATGTAGGCTCAAAGGAAAAAATTTTCAATATCCACCAACTGATTTCAATATAAGAACACATCTAATTACCAAAAACAACTCGCCAAAAAATATTTGGAAAAACAAGAACAAAAATTTATATAAATCCACAAACAGAGATTCAATCAATCAAAAAACAAGAACTATGACACAATTGAAACCATAAAGAAACAAATTTGAAGCTTTAGGGTTTTACCTTCGCATATCGATAAGAAACTTAGTTAAGGGGAGGGGTTTAGGTGAAATGAGAATACCTGAACCAGCAAACGATGGTCTAAAGCAGCGAACGATGGTCTGAAGCTTCAATGGAGGTCTGAAGCTTAGATGGTCTGAGTCTGGCAAAGAGAGGCAGAATACCTGAAGCTTTGAGCAAATCTAAAGCTTCGATGGAGTTTTGAGGTAGAGAGAGGTAGGGATCAATGGGGTTTTGTGGATAATCCATGAAGAGCCAGAGAAAGGCAGAGAGAGGCGGAGACTGGCGTGAGGGATTTATTTGGGCTAGCTACACTTATTGAGCGAAAAACATGTTATGGGAAATAGACAGTCAGATAGGAAAAATTTATATTCTGCGACGTTTTTAGAAATGTCGTTAAAAACTTTTAAGGTCTAATTTAAAATTTCTAATTATCAATTCCCGCCATTCATCGCGCCAATAAATGTTAAAAGAATATGACTTTTTGGCGACGTTTTTAAAAAATGTTGCAAAAAATATTTTAAGTTTAATTTAAAATTAATAAATTTACATTCTGCGACAAATTTCTAAAAACGTCACAAATTGACATTATTATTTCATTTAACTTTAATAATGAAAATTTATCTTCCGTGACGTTTTTCAAAAAAAAACATTTTAAGTTTAATTTAAAATTAATAAATTTATATTCTGTGACGAATTAAAAAAAATGTCGCCAATTGACATTATTATTTCATTTAACTTTAATAATGAAAATTTATCTTCCGCGATGTTTTTGAAAAACGTCGCAAAAAAACATTTTAAGTCTAATTTAAAATTAATAAATTTACATTCTGCGACGAATTAAAAAAAACGTCGCCAATTGAAATTATTATTTCATTTAACTTTAATAATGAAAATTTATCTTCCGTGACGTTTTTCAAAAACATCGCAAAAAAACATTTTAAGTCAATACTTTTTTGTCGTAAAAAATCTTAATTTTCCACCATTTTTTGCGCCAAAAACAATTTGAATCGAATCATCTTTTTGCAATGATTTTAAAAAACGTCGCAAAAAAATTCCCAAAAAATACTTTTGGCGACAAAAATATTATAACGTCGCGGATAGTATACTTTTTTGCGACAAATTAAAATTCGTCGCAAAAAAAAACGTCGCAAAAAAAGATTTTTGTTGTAGTGTGATTAGTATATATATATGAGTTAGGTGAATCAACATAGTTTTCTTGTTAGGTGACTCGCATTTTTTTTTTTTGTAAACACTCACAAAAACTGAGTTTCACTTTAATTCATATTATTTCTCGTCTTACACTATAAATTGATTACACAACTTTACTATTGCTCATATCATAATATATATAATGCACCATCCCAATTTTAGTTGGACTAATCATAACATTGCAAAACAACAACCACCTCCTCAAGGCCACTCTAATTTTGTGTCATACACTTCACCCCCAAAGAAGAACCTTGAGCATGCCATAGTATCACTACAACAATTTGTGCAAAGTCAAACCACTTTTAATAAGCAGACATCTCAAGTTTTGAATAACATTAGAAGCACACTCATCAAATTAACAACAACACCGTACCATCAAGAAAAATGAAAAGTTTTGGCACAACCCCAACTGAATCCACACGGTCAATTTAATGTGGATGAGTCTACATTAGCTTATAGTACACATGAGCAAGTCAAATCTATTACTATACTTTGTAGTGGAAAAACTATTGATAAAACCATTCCACTGAGGGCCCAAAAATATGAGGAATCTTCTAAACCTAAGGAGAGTGATAAACTTGACCAGTCTTGAGTCTTGTGAGCCTCTAAGATGTCTGATTCCTACTCCTTTCCCCCAGAGATTATAGTTCCATCAAAGCCCACTTTGAATCTTGAGATTTTAGAAATTTTCAGACAAGTCAAAATCAACCTCCATTTCTTAGACGCAATAAAACAAATACTTTCTTTTGCTGAATTTTTGAAAGATTTGTGTACCATTAAGAGTAGACTAAATGTACAAAAGAAGGATTTTCTAAGTGGGCATGTAAGTGAAACCATTCAACGGAACACTCCATCAATGTATAAGGATCCTAGCTATCGCACTACTTGTGTTGTGTTATTGAAAAATTTAAAATTTTCCCAACTTATGGCACCAATGACGATGAGAAGTATATGCAAGCTTCAAAAAGAAAAAGCGATGAAAATGAACTATTGGCTTTCAATATGACTTGAGGATCTTATAGCATTTGGAAACAGGTCCAGACCAAAAAAGTTTGATTTGGGATCTACATAAGATATAAATTGAGTAGGAATGCAACTTAACTGAACAGAATCAAACCAAAGAGTAGATTATTTAGGCTCGACTCCTCTGTTTGTGACAAAGGCTTTGGATCATGATGAGTTTCAAAAATCTTGTTCAAAATGAATATGTAAGTGACTAAGTTGGACCTTCTTACACCTCCAGTGGTATTTAAAATTTTGATTTTCAGAAATATTGTGTTTCACTACCAAATTTAGCACTTCCGTGACATTGACAAAAAGATGGGGAGATATGAGATCCCCTTGCCTGAACCCTCTGGTGCTTGGGAAGAACCTAGTCAGCTACCCATTTATATTCATCGAAAATCTAGATGAGGATATGTGTAACACCCGTGGCAATACCTGTACCAGTAATGCAAGGATGCATTTAAAACTAGTAATACCAATTCATGATCTCAAAAAGAGATAAACCATAAAACTATATGATATTGTACACAATGGTGCAACTTAAACCAAAGTAAAGCATTAGGGAATTCATCCCTTATATCAGCAAGGAAACGAACACCTCTGTCAAGATGTACACAACCAATTTCTTTAATCTCCCCTCCTTACCCAACTAGTGTTGTATTCAACTCAACTCTAAACTTTATCTTTCTGAAAACAAATATTTTCTTGAGTGTACTGTACATCATAATAAGTGAAAATATTGAAAATATGGATTAAATATCATTTTACAAAAATATATTCATCACTTGCGGAGAACGAAAAAATCAAGTATTTTCAACTTATTTTGAAATCTCAAATCACTACCAAATATCAACATAATAAATAGTTCACATGTGTCTTGAGTCAACAAGTTTAAGCAATGTCAAGTTATCTACAACATTTAAACAATGTCAAATTTTCTCATAACAACTATGCAGTGTTAAATATAACAACATGTAAGTCATGTTAAACTATCCAACAACTCTGACATAGTGAATAATACTTCAACTACAAGCTTTTCAAAAAAATATATTTGATCCATCATTTTCACAACTCAACTAAGATCGAATCATTGCGATTTCACTTCACATCAAGAAAATAAAACATATATCATACACTTTAATTTCCAAATATTATAAAGCAGTACACTTCACTTATCACCAACAACAACTACACCCATATGCTTTATGCTTGATCCTTATGTGGAATCGGTATATTATCTTCTATACCTAACACCTATCATATAAACATACACAATGAGTTTCAACTCCAAACAACTCAACAGATGCAAATGTATGCATATGAGTGTCACTCCTTTTAAGTTTTGTTCGTTCCGATTCAACTTGACTTAGATCAAGAAAAACTCCAATACCATGGATTATTTTCATAATAGCTCAACAGGAAACCAAATGTGTTAGAAAGTAAATTTCTTAAGGTTTCTAACGATAAGTCATAAGCTCAAAAGAAACCTCTCATAGACCATTTTTCGATTATTTTTCAACAAGTTATTAAATTCGATATATGGATTGTTTTTAGTTATCTGTAAACTAAAAGCTGATTTTACATAGGAATAATATGATGTTCTACCATATACTATTGGAAAGGTCTCTACGTCTAGTTTCCAAGAAATTTACAGTGCGTCAATCCGAGTTTTCTACAAAAAAATTATGCCCATTTTACTAAAGGGTGTCAAAGCAGTCCAATACACCTCATATCCGAATTCCTCAATATTTTGTTTCTTTGATCCAAACAAATCCAATTTATTTTCATACCACATTCAACTCAAATAAGATAGGGTAACTTAAGCCTCATTTTCGCTTATTCAGTTCATTCAAACATTTCCTCGAACACTTTACATGAATTAAAATAACACAAAAGCCCATTGCGTGAATTTAATTAAAAAAGCTTCTATCCTTTCTAAAATAAAAACAAAAACCCAAATTAATCATAAAGTGTACTTCCTAAGCATTTTAACCATAGGTCAAGAGCTAAAATTGGAGTTATATGTGAAAAGTTATGTTCATTTGTTTACAAAGGTACTGAGCTGATTTTTTCCATCAGTCGCGACATTTCAGTCAACTTCAAACAATGTTAGTTTTCACACAAATAGAATTATGTTCTATAACATATATGGTTAGAAAGATCTATGAGCCTATGTTCTAACAAAAAGTGGTGCACAAATCCGAATTTTCTAGGGACAATTATCCCCGTTTTTCCATCGACTACCCTAGCTGTCTGTCAAAACCGGAATTAACAACCAACTTCTTTACAAAATTTTCAGCAGATCAAAATTTTATCAACTCAATTTTTAGCAACATAAAAACAGTTTCTTGATTCCAAAAACCTCAAACTCATAGTGACTTCATTGAAAAAATATTACCTTCCAACCGATTTCTAGCTTCCATACTGATCTATAACATTTTTCCCCAGTCAAAAAATTATCAATTGGAAGAAAATAGAAAATTAAAGAACCAACTTCATTTGAAGAAACTGACTGGTAGATATGAAATTCAAGCTATGTAAATAGCATATTCAAATTTGGTAAGAATCGAAGTTAATATCACCGTCAGAACTTTACTTGAAGCCACGGTTTCCTTTTCTCCTTTCTTCTTTCCATCTCTGATCTTCCTCTCTATTTCTTTCTACGTTTTTGTTTGTTTGTTCTTTTCTACTCAATCTAACCACGGCCTTCTACCTCCAACTGTTACAACACTATGCAATAATTATACTTACCCTTTGAAGAATGTAACTCTCATAATTTACTCGTATAATATTTTTTCTCAATAACTTCAATAATTGTAATTCAACCCCAACCTTTTTAACTTCAATTTAATTCCACTCTTGTAGCTTAAATATAACATCATGCATAATAATTAACTTGCCTTAATTCTAACATATCTTAAACTTAACCAATCAAAAATTTCAAATAATTACATTTACTACCTCAAACCTTTTTAAATAGGATACTTCCACCATTATTCACAATTAATTGTAATGAAATGCGAAGCCGGGTT